TTTTCAACTCCAAAGCAGCCAACCTATCCTCCATGGACAGCAACCTGGAGTTTACTGAACTGCTGAGTTGAGTGAACTGCTCATTCACATCGGCAGCAAACAGAGTAAGTTGATGAGACAGTCCACTGATAGCATTCAGCAGTTTCTTCTAATTGTTGAAATAAATTGTTTTGTTGTAGTAATGGTGCGATCCATTTGTCTCATAAATCCCCCGACCGAGTTGGAAAGTGTAAATCTCGCAGCTATCTCGCGACATTTCACCGAGACACACCCCCTTTTGGTCGTAATATTGACCGTCCCACTCGGGGTTCCTCAGAGTACACCGAGCTGAACGAGGGTGAACGTACGACTCGCAAAACAAAGATGGCTGCGGCCATTTTGAGATGTATTTTCTTTGTATTTGTACTACGTTGGTCGTTTTAATGTCGATTTTAAATGCTCTTACACACTTGTTTACATTGCTGCTTTAGTCCGGTCACCAATTTATGCATTGCACGGTTTTGCTGTGCGTGCAATACAATGTAAAGTTTTGTTTCTGAGCTGGTTTGCTAAACAGGCTAATGTAGCTAACAATACACTGGTGGCTCGAGACAAACGCCACAGCACTTGTTGAAACTGAAATAGGCGAAAATGGCAAAATATTATTGAAATGTAAGACTTGCAATAACCGTATTACTTGAAATGTTAGTGTTTCTGTAGAAAAACACATTAGTATTTCACATTGAGCTTGTTTAGATGATCCACAAGCAATAACAAGACAGCTGCTGCAGCACCATAAGTCACGGGAGGCTTCTTACCGAACATGGGGGAAGTTTTTTTTTGTTCCTGACGAACACAGTATATATCACGATCACATCATCTCTCACAGTAAACAGTAAACTAAATTCTTCTTCTTTCTATCTATTGCATTCCCAACAGGTAACAACTTACTCATCGCCCCCTAGTGGACCTGAGGACAAATATATATATTTCTCTCAATTCTTCACAGTTACTACATTTGTGTATCTTTTTTACATAACATTTGCCATTGCTAATGACATACACAGTAATTAATCTAGCATACATTCATTAAATAAATCAATTCAAGCTAAAATTTAAGAGTCTATAATTAGGCTGTACTGAGCCTGATCTATTTATACCAGAGATTTTCTTACCTTTTAGAAAAATGTCACCTGGGGTAAAACTCCCCCTGCTACCCTGATTTTCATTTGTATATAGCTCACAGCATTTTCATTTACATGTTAAAGCCTCCCCTAGAATTAGGGGGAGGGGGGTCATGGGGGGGACAACTGCCAAGCAAGGCCCACATCAATTTCCGACAATTCACAGCAGTTTTCCGTGTTGCCTGCAAATTGCCGTATGCAGTCGTAAACCTGAAGTTCCACAACAATCTACAGTGCCGCTTACTGACGAAAATCCCACTTTTCATGCAGTGAACTACACTAATAGTAGTGACTGATGATGATGAAGATGACAACAGCAACGATGGGGGACAGTGAGCAGCAACAACAGCAACAACAGTAACCGTAGCTATAATAATACTTATAATAGTAATAACACTACTCTCAGTGATATTGGAAATGACAGTCAAGCAGGACCATGGCAGGAGGTTCCACCAGGATCCATGAGAACCTGCGAGACGAGAAAGCACAAGAACTCCGGGGAAGAAGTGAAGTTAGTAACATGCATTAATGGGACATGAATGAGTGCAGAAAGAGAGAAGAAGAGAGGAGCTCAGTGCACCATAGGAAATCCCCCGATAGTCTAGGCCTATAGCATAGTGGTCCCAACCACTAGGGGCACTAAAGACACTGGTCCTGACCAGCTCCTCAGTGATCTGTCTTGTGGTCCCTGTGGTCTGTGAAGCGGCTTTAGTATTTTCTCCCCTTTCCGGTCATTTTGGCAGCACTGTTAGCTGGATAAATGTCAGAGATCCTAACCTTTTGTCTATAAAATACACTATAACAGAATTATTATGATTCTTACTTTTATTACTCTTGATTATGCAGAGCCGTGTGGTCAGGACCAGCTGGTCTGTCACCACCACTAGGGGCGTTAAAGACACTGGTCTGTCTTGTGGTCCTTGTCATCTGCCTGTCTTGACCAGTTACTTACTAATGTCCAATATTATTGATCATTACTATTAATAGAAATCATCATAATAACGATTAAATTATTATTATTATTAGTCGTAGTTGTATTAGTAGTACTATTGATTATGCAGGTTCGTGTCTTCCATCATCAATCGATCAGGTCCACTTAGTGTAACTCTTTTTCGAAGAGAATTGAAAATTCATTTTCAATTGGTTTCTGGATCACCTCATGGCTGCATGAACACTGCCTTTAAAACAATTAAATGAAGGAAACGGTTGGTAATTAAGTTCCTGGCCAATCAGGAGCAATTTCCAATTTTGATGCCAGGTGTGATCATATTGATCATATGCCATG